CCCCCCTTCTCCCCGCGCCTCCGCCCACGGGGTGGGGGGGTTTGTTGTTCCCCAAATCCACGAACAACAACCCCCCCCACCCCTCCCTATCGAAGCGGTCTCAGAAGAAGGAGCAAGCCACTCTTCGAAAGAGACTGGAGAGTATGAGAACAAGGGGCAAACCGCTGGAAAGAAACTACAGAAATTCAGAAGAAGGAGCAAGCCGCTCGACACAGATTAGAGAATTTGGAAAGGGACCAGAGAATTTGAACAAGGAGCAAATCACTCGAAAGGAAGTAGAGCCTTTCAGAACAAGGAGCGAACCGCTTGAAAGAGACTGGCGAATTCCGACAGAGATTCGAGAATTTGAAAAGAAGGAGCAAGCCGCTCTAAAGGAACTAGAGAATGTCGGAGCAAGGAGCAAGTCGCTCGAAAGAGTCGAGAGAATCTCGAGAGAGAGAAGAGAATTTCGAAAGAGACTACAAAATTCGAAAACACAGAAAAACCACTCGAAACGAACTAGAGAAGTTCAGAAGAAGGAACTTTCCGCTCGAAAGAGACTAGAGAATTTCGGAAGAGACTGGAGAACGTGCAAACAACGAGCAAACCGCTCGCAAGGAACTAAAGAATTTCAGAACGAGGCAGGGGAGTTTGGAAAAACAAGGAGCAAACCGCTGAAAAGGAACTGGAGAATATCGAAAGAGATTTGAGACTTCGAAAACAAGGAGCAAACCATCGAAAGGAACTATAGAATTTCAGAACAAGCAGCAAACCACGCGAAAGATACTAGGGAATATCCAAAGAGACTAGAGAATTTGAAAACAGGAGCAAGCAGCTCGCAAGGGGCCAGAGAAAGCCGCTCGAGAGAGAGATTACAGAATTTCGAAGGAGACTACAAAATTCGAAAACACAGAAAAACCACTCGGAACGAACAAGAGAATTTCAGAAGAAGGAACTTTCCGCTCGAAAGAGACTAGAGAATTTCGGAAGAGACTGGAGAACGTGCAAACAACGAGCAAACCGTTCGCAAGGAACTAAAGAATTTCAGAACAAGGAGCACACCGCTCGAAAGAGGCACGAGAGTTTGAAAAAGCAAGGAGCAAACCGCTGAAAAGTAACTAGAGAATATCGAAAGAGATTTGAGACTCCGAAAACAAGGAGCAAACCGTCGAAAGGAACTATAACATTTCAGAACAAGCAGCAAACCACGCGGACGATATTAGGGAATATCGTCAAGTTGTGAAGCCAGCAACGACAACAGCAACATCTTTTTGGATTATTGCCAAACCGGTGATCAACGTGGAGACCCGCTGACAAAAGCTCTGGCCCACCAGAAGTGGTCTCATGCACTGTCGCTTCTACGCATCTCCACTGAGAGGCTCCCTGATCATAACTAAGTTGTGTCAAGCTTAGGTTTGCTGAGCATCCTTATTTCCATTTGCCTCCTCTGCTTAGCTGCTTTGCACTACGGGGATGGCAGTTGGCTGAAGTTGTCACTTCCTGGTAGTCTGCTAGGCGACTATCGGTCATCCGCATGTGTGCTGAGCGCCATGCTTTGATGTGTCCTGAAGACCTGTCATGAGTTTACCCTGAGGATGTACTCTGTCAGTGCTCTCTTCTGAGAAGCACGGGAATCAACGGTAGGTCAAATCTGTTGGCTTCCCTTCAAAGTTCGTAATTCATGGAGACTCCTATGCATCATGCTGTACAGTTCAGCAAGCCTGAAGGGGGGAGTTAGTAAAACTCGAGGTCTTGCGTGTAAAGATATGTGTCAGGCTATGCTAAGCTTGTCCAACAATAGTGTTTGGCTCAAGCATGAACAAGAGCGTACCTGAGCTGCTCTTCGCTTTCAGGGTCGGGGCTTCTCTTCGGTTGCCCGGTGCCCTGTTCTGAGTTTGAAAACAAGGAGCCAACCGCTCCAAAGGAAGTAGAGAACTTATGAGAACTTCAGAACAAGGCGCAAACCGTTTGAAAGACACTCGGAAATTTCGAAAAAGACTAGAATGACTAGACTCATTGAAAACAGGGAGCAAACCGCTCGAAAGGAACTGGAGAACTTCACAACAAGGAGCAAACCGCTCGAAAGAGATTAGGTAATTTCGAAAGAGACTTGAGAACTTAATTTAAGACAAGGAGCAGACCGCTCGACAGAAACTAAGAATTTCACAACGTGCAGCAAACCGCTCGAAAGAGACTAGAGAATTTCGACAGAGAGTAAAGAATTTAAACACACGGAGCAAACCGCTCGAAAGGGACTAAAGAATTTCAGAACAAGGAGCAAACCTAGAGATTTAAACCGCCCGAAAGGAACTAGGGAATTTCAGAAGAAGGAGCAAGCCGCTCGAAAGGAACTGGAGACTTTCAGAACAAGGTGCGAACCGCTGGAAAGAGAGTAGAGAATTCCGACAGCGATTAGAGAACTTGAAAACAAGGAGCAAGCCGCTCGAAAGCAATTAGAGAATTTCGGAACAAGGAGCGAACCGCTTGAAGGAGACTAAAGAATCTCGAAAAAGACTAGAAAATTAAGCCGTTCCGCAGGAACCAGAGAATGTCAGAAGAACGAGCAAACCGCTCGAAAGAGTGTCGAAGGAGACTGGAGAATTTGAAAACAAGGAGCCAGCCGCTCCAAAGCAAATAGAGAACTTCAGATCAAGGAGCAAACCGCTCGAGAGAGACTCGAGTCATTGAAGACAGGGAGCAAACCGCTCGAAAGGAACTAGAGAGTTTCAGAACAAGGAGCAAACCGCTCGAAAGAGACTAGGTAATTTCGAAAGAGACTTGAGAACCTAATTTAAGACAAGGAGCAGACCGCTCGACAGAAACTAAAGCATTTCAGAACGTGCAGCAAACCGCTCGAGCTAGAGATTTCCAAAGACTAAAGACTAAAGAATTTAAACACAAGGAGCCAGCCGCTCGAAAGGGACTTGCGAGTTTCAGAACAAGGAGCAAGCCGCTCGAAAGAGACTGTACATTTAGGCCGTTCGGAAGGAACTACAGAATTTCAGAAGAAGGAATAAACCCCTCGAAAGGCACTAAGGAGTTTCGAAACAGACTTGTGATTTGGAAAACAGGGAGCAAACCGCTCGAGAGGAACTAGAAAATTTCAGAAGAAGCAGCAAAGCGGTCCAGAGAGACTGAAGAATTTCGAACGAGACTCGAGGGTTCGAAAACAAGGAGCAAACTGCTCGAAAGGAACCAGAGAATTTCAGAAGAAGAAGAAGCAAAACGGCTCGAAAGAGTTGCGATCATAACAACAAGTTCGAGTTCTAGCGGCAAGGATTTTGGGAGATAGTCCTAGTGCGGATGGTTTAGTATCCCTTGCGTTGAACAGTTTGTGTTTCGGGTGTGCCGCCAGATTGAACAAGATTAACGTTTCCACGCCACGAGATGCATCTATGTTGCGCAAGCTCGGGGTTTCTGGGTAAGTCAGATCCTTGTTTGCAAATCGTTGTTTCGTCACATTTTGCAATGGTCGCGATATTGTGGCCGGGTGAAGACCCAACACCCAAACAACAGCAAGAACCGGGCAACCATCTGCGGGGCTCAGTAATACACAAAGTGCCGATAGTTTCGCGAGCTGAGACAGACATTTCACAAGCTGCGCTCTGAAGAATTAGGTAGGTAGTGGTAGGTAGGCAGGTTGGTCGGTCGGTCGGTGGGTGGGTGGGTGGGTAAGTATGTAGGTAGGTTTGTGTTTGCATGCACACAGACATACGAAAAGACTAACAGGAGCATGGAATGTTGCACTTTTTAAATATGTGAATGTATGTCTTGGGTGTTCATGCATTTTGACTCTATTTGACCAGCTGATTGGTGTGAGGTTGCTAGCAAGACGAACGACGTAGCTGGTGATGGCACGACCACTGCAACCGTTCTGGCACGTCGAGCTCTCAACTTCAGAATTGAAAAATCTGTTGCAGCTTGCCAAAGCTGACGTTAGAAGAGCGATGTGGAGTGGCGCCAAGGCGCCATCTTCAGAGAAGGTTGCAAGGCGACACTGACAAAGACACGGGCATTGGCTGCAACGTGTGAGCTTGGTTGAGGCGGTAGCAGCTGGAATGAATCCGTCGGCCGCCCGGGGGGCATCAGCACCGGAGAGTTCCCTCGAAGCCTGAGTGAACAGGATGGACATCAAACGTGGCATGGACCATGCAGCGAAAATTGTCTTAGAGGAACCACTTGCAGAATCGCAAGCCGGCACCTTGACCACTATAGTGAGTTTAAACGTTTGTGAGCTTGTGAAGGATCTCTCAAGCCAAGCGACCATGATCGAGACTCCGGACAAAATCAAAAGCGCGAGATGCCTGGCTGCTGGCTGCGGACAAGTGTGGGAGCTGGGCCGTTCTATTTTTGGAAGCAGCTTCGAGGTCGCGACAATTGCAGCCAACGGCGACGAGCACATCGGCAAGATGATCACGGAAGCTTTTGAGAAGGCAGCCTTAGAGGATATGGAGAAGGTGTGCTGCGGCTTTCCTGGTAGCAGGTTGGCAAGGATGGGACCATCACCGTGCCCTGCTCCAAGCTGGAACTGTAAGAACTTCCACGAAGCACACAGGTGCCTTCCTGCTTAGCCTGGCATGGATGCGTAGGTCTGATGGCAAAACCATGGATCACGAGCTCGAGGCCCATGTCTCAGAATCTTGGACTCATGAAATAGAGATTCTCGCCCTGTTGACAGGTGGTGGAAGGCATGCAGCTGGACCGCGGGTACTCTTTATGAAGTGATTCGTCAGACTATCTGGCTGCTGCAGCTGCAGTTTGCTTGAAGGTACATCTCCCCGTACTTCATCACAAATGTGAAGGTCGGGACCCTGCATAGACACCAGTGAAACGATCACGGCATCGGGCTTGCAATTAAGGCGCAAAAAGTGGAGTTGGAGGCATGGGTGTGCTGGGCATCTGCATGTGCAAGCTTCTCTAATGCTTGCCAGAATCCTCTGGTGCTCATCTTCGACAAGAAGATTTCGTCGGTCCAGGCTTGCTTGACGAGTGAACATGCGACATCCCCCCGCATTCCAAGCGGCTACAAGAGTATCAAGATCCATATGGCTTCTGCAATTTCATTCGTCGGCAGGCCATCCTGCCTCTTCTGGAGCAGGCCCGTGCTGACGGGGACCCTATATTTTTTGGTACTTTTTGTTTAGTCTTTTTTTTTCGTCCCTCCGGAATGGGGTGGCGTGAAGGAAGGCAGGAATTCAGGCCGGAAGGAAGGAAGGAAGGAAAGCGGGGAGGAAGGAAGGAAGGCAGGGAGGCAGGGAGGCAGGAAGGAAGGAAGGAAGGAATGAAGGAAGGAGGGAAGGAGGGAAGGAAGAACGCAGCAAAGAAGGAAGGCAATATGAAGAATCAGAAGAACAATAATAGCAAGACTACGGACTACGGGTAATAATAAGCAGACTTATATACTATTAATATCAGCANNAGAACAATAATAGCAAGACTACGGATGAAAATAAGCAAACTTATGTACTATTAATATCAGCAATGCTAGTTACTAGTACTAATACAACGTCGGGGTAAGTTGGTGAACTGCACACTCGTCAGATACCACAGAGGGTGTTGGTTC